AGGAGCTACCTGTAAACACTGCAAAGCTACCACATTATCCCCCTCCAAATCCCTCAAAATTTCCGTTTGCCATGCTGGCTACAAAAACACTTGACAATGAATACTCCTGCCTAGCATGCTAACAAATATTGTCTCACTGTTTCCTTGTACTCCTACATCTGTCTGTATTCTTCTGTTGCCTTCTGTTTTATACTTAGATTGTAAACTCTCTGGGCCAAGGCCTATCTTTTTGTTCTGTTTGTACAGCACCTAGCATAATGTGGGTCCTGCTACATCACTAAGGCATGCTGGTAATACAAATAAATAATGTGTGAAAAGAATGAGCCCAATTCAGATGGACCTCAATTCCAGGATTTATTTAATACATATCCCTTCCCTATACAACTTTGTTCCTTGTGTTCATCTACAACACTGAAAAGCCATTGAGCGTGGTTCAAACTATGAGAGCTTTATTGGGCTGTGGTTTGATCGAGACAGGACGGGGATCACAGAGTAAATGGGAATGTTTAGCAACCAATGTGAGTGTGGAAAGACCTGGAGAATGGGGCCAGGATATGAAAAGGAAGGGAAAGAGCTAGGAAAAAGTGTATAAAGACAGAGAGTTTATCACAGCAGTTTTTTTCCCCAGAGATCTTTGTGCCCTTCAGTTACTATGATGCTGGGTTACAGCAGAAAAACATGCTTTGCAGTTAGACGGACACCCCACCACTGTTAAATACAGAGCTGGCGCTTAGTATCCTGGGTTCTGGGCTGGTGTACTGCTGTCTGATTTGTTACCGAGAAACAAGGCATAGGATGTTCTGGCTTGCAAGGTGCATAGAATGAGGGCAAAGGGTCTCAGTGTGGTGGCGAGGGCTATTTCCAGTGCATCACTGGCAGCAGTGTTTGGAATTTTGTCCTTCACACAAGAACTGTGGGGGTCCCACAGCTGGAAGTTTCACAAGCAGGGTGAAATATATATTGTGTGTATGTGAATGACAGGCCCAGTTAGCACTCCTCTGAGACCACAAAAACTTGGACTTCAAAGACTTGTTTCCTCCACTTCTCTTTTATTTCAGGTTATTTTTTATTAGAATCTTTAAATTCAGTACAGAAAAGTCGATAAAAGCCAGTTCAGAACATGTCAAATGAAAACTAGTTTCAGCAACAGCACAATCACCTGACCAACATTTACAACTCAGGGAAACTCTCATATAGACAAATGCTCTTGCCCTCATAGGCTCTACAACAATAACATGATGTCCCAGTCCTGCCTAATGTTAGCACTTGGAATACAGGAAGAAGCATTCGATATTGGAAATGGGTGGCTCAGACAATCCTGGTCTAGCAGGGAGGAGCATTGTAATGCACCAACACAGAAGGGGAAAGGATTTGACGGTGAGCTGTGTTTATAATGTACATTTAATAAGAATAAAATTTAAAGGAGTTAGTCTCCCAAAGGCCACAAAAAGTGGGTTTAAAAGGGTTCAGATAACAGTTCTGTTTCTTTTTCAGTACGGATAGAATAGATTTTGCCATGAAACAATCCCACTTGTTTCCAGTAGGACAACTGGAAATGAAACACAGCTCTTTATTGCGTGGATATTCCAGGGATCTACTCCACTCAGGTCCTGCTTGGCCCCAGAAGGCTACCAAAACTAGTCAAATTCTGCCCTCAAATATGCACATGTGGCTCCTACAGAGGTCAATGAGAATTTCAGGAGCTCAGTACAATTAAAAAAATGTTAGACAATTATATGAATAATGAGAATAATAAGCCAATTGATGGGAATAGGAAGAAACTTCCCTTACTGGCTGCTGCTTGCTACAGATGTTTCTGGCCCCTTTCTCTGAAGTAGCTGGTACTGGCCACTGTCAGAGACAGGATACTGGTCTAGCGGGAACCCTGATCTTATTGGCGCCTTGGATGTTCTCGTGCATGTATGTATCTGAGGACAGAATTGGGTTGAGTGAATTCAATCCTGATGTGCTGATTTTCTAGCACAGACTATATTTTTTGGTGGTTTTGATTCAGATGCCATAGAAAGTTTCCTTCTCACAGCCAGATGGAGCATGTTGGGAAGAGTGCTGGGCCATCTGGCAGAAGTGCAGAGCTTGGGAATAAAATGAGAGTGCCAGATTTAAACCAAAGGGGAAGCAGCACAATGAATGGGGAATATTTCCACAGAAACTGTGGGTACTTTTCTTCCCAGATGTCAGGGTTGGATTTATAGCTCAACCACAACTGAACTATAAACAGGATTGCTCAGTCCAGCCACAGAAATGCCAAGGAAGGGTCTAATTAGTTATTGCTTGTAAAGCACTACAGAAGAATCCTAATAATTATTATAAGGGGCAGAGAGAATAGTAATTTCACCTTCTGTTGCTAGTAACCACTGGATAAGGGTAAAATGTCCTTCAAATGCTAATACAAGATAGAGGAAACTGTTACTAATACAGTAATATACTGTCTACAAAACAACAGCATGAAATGGCGAGATGGGAAGGCCACACTGTTAAAGGCACTGATAGACATTTTAAATATGCTGCTTCCTGGCCTGATGCACAATCATAATCCAGAGAATTAAACTAATAAAACTGGTATCATTATGTTCCTGATCTTCAGTACAAAGTGCATCCAATATTCCTGGATAGCACTGGAACCCAGAGTACACATAACTGTTACGTATATAAATATGAACACACTGTATAGAATAAAAAACCTATTTCATTAGAAAGCAAGATGATTCAAGTCTGAACTTATTGAAATATATTTTCTTACTGGCACTCTTCTCTGTTTCTAAAAGGCACTTAGAGGTAAACAAGCAAGGAAGGTTTCTGCAAGCACCAGTCCTTGTACTGGTGCATCTCAAAAGCAGAAGTGGGCATCTCCAGACGGACTCCATGTTGCTGTAAGTGAAAAAGGAAGCAAACTCTGGCTATTTATTACTGTTCTGGTGCCAAACAAGATTCAGTGATTTTTTTTAAAAATGGCAAGGGTGTTTGTGTGTGTTTAAAAAAAATACTCATTCCAGAGTGTGCGTGAGAGAGATGGATCTGCCTGTACGGTAAATGCCCTCCCGCATGGGATGCAGTGAGCATTACAGTTATCTGTACTATCCAGACCATGAGACCCGATAGGATAGTACAGATTGGCCTTTCACAAAGGAACAGTGCCAATAAGGTTAGGTCTTAGTTAATAAAAGATCAATAATGCCATCATGTCTGTCTAATGTGTTATTTACAGCCTGCTGGTCTGCAAAGACCTTTTCATTTGACCGGCAAAGGCTAAGACAACTGCTTCTGTATAGCTATGTCTATTTTTTGCCAGCCTTCTCTTGATAGGGTATTTCCCAGCTCCACATAACTGCCACAGGGCTCTATGCCTTGTCTAGAGACTCAGACTCTCTCCTAAAAGTGAACTATTTTGTCAGGCCCTGAAGTTCTGGCCATAGGCTCGTGCAGTACCCTCCTCAGTCCCTACCTTTATACAAGGTGTTTCCATAGGACTCTCCTCCAGTGAGGTCCCTGCAGAAGGATGCAAACCTAGCTCTCTTCCTTGGAGCCAGCTACACTGTCTCCATGTTGGCTTGGGGAGCCTGAGGCTAAGCCCAGAAATTCCTGGCATGGCAGTGTGTTGCATGCCCAGCTGCTTTACTTTTAGTGGAACACAGCTGCCTTAGGAGATCAATGGCCATTCAAATGCTGCCCATGAGAAATCACAAATGGCAAATGTAAAGGACAGGCAGGTCTGACACTCAAATATTATTAAATGAATTGCAGAAAAGGTATAACACTAGAATGATTTCCACCACCAAAATAAGCTTGAGGTGGTATAAATATGAGGTTCCTTGGGACTGTGAGGGCAGCACACTCTGGGGTACATGTATTACATACGAACACATGCACTTAGGTTCATGCAGATGCTCTGATATAGCAAATATTTCTTGAAGTCCTATATCCTTCCAGTATGTTTCAATGGAACAAAGACTCTATTATAGTGAATGCACCATATTGTTGGAGAGCAGGGATCATTTCATTCAGATATCAGTTGAGACGAGCCCTTCTCCATTATACTTACTCTCTAATTTGGAACCCAGGAAAACCAAATCACAATTGCATTACGAATCTGGATAGGATACACAGAGAGGCAGGGTTGCTACATGAGTTCATGCACATCTCTAGCACAGCCCCCTTTCTGAAACATTTGGGGGGGGGAGAAGAGGGGGAAGAGACTGCTTTCCCAAATGAAATGAGCCAAAAATATAAAACTCTTAGGGCACGCTACCCGCCGGATTGGCGGGTAGCAATCGATCTATTGGGGATCGACTTATCGCGTCTAGTGAAGGCGCAATATAATCGATCCCCGATGGCTCTGCCGTCGACTCCGGAAATCCACCGTGGCAAGAGGCGGAAGCGGAGTTGACGGCGGCGCGGCAGCGGTTGACTCGCCGCCTTCCTCACAGCCAGGTAAGTCGACCTAAAATACGCAACTTCAGCTATGTGAATAGCGTAGCTGAAGTTGCGTATCTTAGGTCGACCCCTCCATCCCCCGTAGTGTAGGCCTAGCCTTAGTCTCGCATATACTTTATTTTCCCGTTATGGAGAGAATACTTCCAGGCTGTTGAATGTTTTAAAAGGAACATTCTATTGTGAATAAATAAGAAAAATAAAAATATGGAAGCAAGCTATGTAAACTCAAGCCATGAGGTATTTCAAGGATACAGTGTAATTCTTACATCTCTTACCCGCAAAGCATAATTGCGAATAAGAAAATGACTCTTTATGATTGTAAAAATGTCCTGCCTTTACTTCCTCCCCTTATACCCAAAGGAGAGGGCGAGAGATTTGAGGTAAAAGCCCTGCTGAAGTGGTGATAGTCGCAGTAGTTCAGAGCAGAGGCAGAAATTAAGGTATTAAAGTGCCACTTTTGTTTCTCCCTAACAGTCTTCATGATTTATGTGTCTCCTACAGCACAGCTCGCCAAAGCCTTTGGCCACAAGATCTCCCACAACTTTGCTGCTTTTCTGGATAAAGGCTCCAATCCTGCACTAGCCTCTGTGCTGTGTGGAGTTCTGGGGTCAATCGGCCTTTGTACAGGTATACGTCCATGCTAGCTGCTCCCAGCGTGGGACTGTCAGCTTCAGCTCTCTTCCGCCCTTTCTTTTGAAATCTCTGCTTTAAAAATTAATCGGATTTTAGAGACCTTTCAAACTCATAACTGTGGTTTTGTCACACAGACTGGGTTGGGAAGCCAAGGCACAATTTATCCTGGTATAACTGACTCTGCATTACCCATCAGCCTCCCATCTCTCTCTTAACCCTCCAATTTTTGCCTGGTCCTAGGACTCCCCAAGAAGCCTTCTTTGTTCAGATGTAGGGCCCAATCCTACCAACACTCCTGCATGTGACACTGAAGTCAACAGGACTACTCACATGGAGTACATACTTCCAGGAACAGGCCCTTAGATATCAGCTCATTTGAATAAATCCAATTTATTAATTGTATTTCCTTTTAGTTTTGGGGAGATTGGATAAAACTACATTAAAGGTTTTATTTTAAAAATGGCAGTTGCTCCTACACTGATTATTAGCCAACAGGGTTCACTATGAAAGGGTTTCAACCTGGATATATGCCAGGGCTGTATGCACACTCTCACAGAGTGGGGAAAGTGCAGGAATGTGCATGCAAACATGTGCCCGCACAACATATGTCATATGCATGCATTCACCCACACAATGTACTATAGATACACAGATATCTGTACTTGTGCACTCTTGCAGATCCGTATGCGGAGACAGGCAGGTGCTTACCCAATGCATATAGATACGCAGGCACTCAGCCGTATATATGCAAAAATATTTAAAAACAATTTAATTTTAGGTACCACCTTTGCCTTTTCATTTTAAGAAAGTACATTTTAAACCCTCATTTTACTCATTTCAGTTTTCTGACTTAAAAGTTTGAACACAGTTAATGCAAGTCACACTCACCAAATGGGGCCTTTTCCTCCCAGTTGGTTAAAACACTAATCAAAAATATATTACAATTATTAAACTCAGAGAATGCATCTTGTAAAGTTTAGTCTGGAAGTCCCGGAGCATAGAAATTGTGCAGTGAGTTTTAGAGCATGTCTCTTGTATTGCGGATAGCACAGCAGAGAACCATGCTGAATATCATGCCAAAGATCTAAAAGAGAAGGAATGTGATTTAGAGTTTTCCATGAGATGCCCCTCTTACAAAAGTAGGCATAGTTATAAAACTGTCATTTCAGAACAATCTAATGATCTTCACAGAGGGGTAGTGGGTACAGATGACTGTTCCTCTCTACAAGTCTCAGGAAAGAAGACAGTTAACATGCAAGAGACATCACCATTACTCAGAGCTAAGATGATACGACCATAGCAGTGTCATAGATGTTTTAAATGCTCTGTAAGCATAATCCCCTTCCCAAATATCACTGGGGAGATCATTAATACTATTAATGATACGTCGTCTGCACTGACACAAGATCAGCACTATCACTGGTATCAAATCCAGCACTGCAACAGAGGACTTGAATTTCAGTCTAGCACAGAAACGTGGTTATAGGAGGTCTCTGTTCATGGAGTATCATGTGTACTTCTGAATAAGAGCAGAGCTGAGCTCTGGGTGTAAAGACAGGCTAACGTATGGGATTGCTGCAGGATACTGTGGGTTTAGAGAGAAACCTAAACTCTTAATAATTACTGTACATGAGGCAAGTTTATAAATTGCATGCAAGTAGAATCCATAGTCTTAAAGCACAGGAAACTGCAGGGGAAGGTTAAAGTGGAATCCAATGGAGGGTGCTAGAGTCTCTAGTAATTCCTCCTAGTCACAGTTTTTACCTCCAGAACAGAGTTTACAGGCAATAAGCAAAGACTTCATCCATGGTCATGAGAAACAGGCAAGCGATACCATTGAATCCCTCCCCCAGGAACAAAGGGCGACAGCTGGCCAGTCTTACCACATGGGAGGAACGGACTAGCACTTGCTTCTCCTTCCAGCCCAGATACCTGAGAGTTGTCAAGTTAATGCAGGACCCCAAGTGCGTGGCATCTGACATCCTCTCTTACCGTATCTGTGCCCATCTCAATGGGAAGTTATGAAGTTTAGATCCCTATATGCAGTGTACACACACTCTTAGGCACTGAACAGCCTGGTTATTGAGACCCTGTCCCATCTGGATTGCTTTGCCATATTTTCCATGTATGCCATTATATTTTAGAAAAGTCACATTTCAGGTTGCCTGTGGCTAACTGGATGTTATGACCGCCCCATATTTCTGAGAATGTTTAAACCCCCCTGCCTCTCTCCATCCCCACAGGTCAGGTGTAGTGACCATATTACTATGCTCTTTAGTTTGAAATATATGAACCCTCCCTCCACATCTGAACTCAGTGAGCTTTGGAAAGTACAGGTAACTCCATTAACTTCCTCCTCCAGAGAGCAGGTGGGAGTGTAATTCCTCAGAAATCTGGTTTCATCCTATGTCTTCAGGCGGTCATTGGCTGCTGAATCTGGAGCAGATCGCAGCAGATGCAGGCTGGAAAATGCTTTAATCTCCAAGCCTGTCAGTTTGATGGGTCTTCCTGCTGGATTCGTGCACTAGTGTGACATCTAGTGGCCACACAGCTCAATTATGAACTCGCAGATTTTTGGAAATGGCAAAGCAGACTTTGCAAGAGAAGATGGAGTTTAAAACAAGTGAAGTGAGAAGCTTTGGGGATACGATTAGATGAATCAGTCACTGACAACATGGTGTTGTTTAATCTGGATACCTAACAGTTAGAAGAGGGATATATCCTGAAGCCACCTGCCTAGTTTAAATTCAGTTCTGTTAAAGCAATGGGCATAGGAATGAGGATGTGCTGATTTCTAGCTTCCAGGTAAGCCATGAACATCTATCACAATATCACAGGTTTTCCTTCACCAGATTGTTAGTGTGCGTGACCTGGGAAAATCAGTTCCTTACAAGCAACTGGTTAAATCACACATCTTCCTTCATGTTCAGATCCATTATGAGTGTACAGCTTGGATCCAAATGTTTAGGGACAAACAACACCAGTGCCGACAATGGGTTGGAATGGGTGAAATCTTAGGATAGCTGGTTGCTTTTCAGTACACTCAGCCTTTTTGGCTGAAGTTATTAATTTATATTTATTTACAACAGTAACAAAGTGGAATTTCTCCTAGATAGTCTGTATTCACTCTATGGGGATGAAAAATAAACTGGTAAAACTGGGACTCTCCAAAATGTATGTGGAGAGTAGAGTGACTCTCAGAGAAAAGACTCATCAAAAGTGTCAGGGAAAGTTGGTATCATATGGAAATCTCCCCAGCAGCTACTGCAGAGCATCTCCCAGGAAATATGGACTCAGGGGAGGGTGCAGGGATTTCATATAGACAGAAAAGACAATGATATGATGTATTTACTCACTGTGATGCCAGCAATTCCAATTCCAACGATTCCAACTAACTGCAGATTAGAGTTAATTAAATTCTGGATTTCATCCAGGCAGTTCTATTAAAAACAGAATGAAAGTTCCACTTAGCTCCTAGATAAATATTTCTAGATAATTTCCCTGAACCTCTGCCTTCATGTACATGGAGAAAGGCTAACACAGTGACCTGTCTGCTAACCTGCCTCTCTATGTCTTGTGCCCTCCTGGACATTTCTTGCCACTAGGTAGCTTACTCTCCCCTCATCAGAGCCATCAATAGGCTTTACACTGCCAGGAATCATCTCCTTTGTTGTCCTCACCATACTCCTTTGTATACCCAGGTGCCATCTCAACGGCATTCACATGTGGGTTTTTCATTAATAGCTTCCCCAGAAGTTAAAGCCAGCTATGTGTCTGGATACACTAAATCAGGGGAATATGGCCTTTTGGGATAATGATGCAACTGCAGGCAGGTGCCACAAAAAACTAGAAATGAGAGTGTTTCCCTCATTTTAATTGGCCACATTCCTAGCCAGGGTCCTCTGAGCACAGTGAAGACAGGCACACGCCATAATTCAACCTTCATGGAGCCTTTCATTCAGACTCCTAGACACCAACATCTAAGTGCCCCTGCTCTTCAGACTCTGTGACATTACTGCCACAGCTACCTGGGGAGGTGGTAGGGAGGCTGCAGACAACAAGAGCAAGAGGTGTTCACATTTCTGACCCCTCACTCTCCTCTGCCTCCATGCTGTTCAGCTGCACAGAGCTTCCCATGGCTGAGAGGGTGCTGGAGCCTATTCAAGGCAGATAGCAGCTCTGACTTTCCTGAAATATGATTCTACTTGTACATTTCTTCAATTTCTTCTTAAATAACTCTGATATGGACAAAGGATATTTGAATCATCTGAAGCCGGCTGATCTGACTGTGGACATTGTCTTTCCCCAGCTAGGTCCTCTGGGCTATAAACCTCAGTCAGTCCCAGTGTCATCATTAGTGCTATTTTTGCTCCTTGTGTGTCAGAGAAACTTCTGTTTCAAACTGACATATCTGTGGTGAGAGGTAATTAAAACAATCAGCGCAGAAGACACTTACCTTGGGCATCTGGATGCCCTCTGGACAGGTGGGCTTCACCTGAATCTCACTTTCTTTACCACAGCACTGAAGCTATGCAGTTGAGAGAGAGAGAGAGAGAAAGTCAAAAAAGGGAGAAACTACAGGCTAGTTTCCTACTGAGACTCTGCATTCAATGGCAGCAAGTGGGCCAGTAACTAAAAGGAAAGACTAGAGACAGGGGCACAAATTGATCCCTCTTTGGTAACTCCACTCCCTTGAGTAGATTTTCATGTACATTGAATGTGGCCCAAATTCTCAAAATTCCTTTAATTTCAAATGTCTCAATTCTCAATGGACAAGTAAATACCAACATCCAGAAACACGTACATAAAAAAAGGCTCCTGGAAGGGACTTTATGGCCCAGTTCAGATAGTCTGACAAACAGACCAGACTGTTCAAGGCAATACAAATCTCTGCCATGGAGGGCCTAGCAGTGTCTAAATCCCTTTATCCAGGAAAACACAAATAGTTCAAGCGGCACGTGTAGAAATGTGGGCACCATGCTGAAGCTGCAGCAGAATACGCTAGAATCTTTATTACAGACAGAATATGCTGTTGGGTTTGTGGCCAGTGATAAATCAGCAGAATGTTTCAGTGGGTTTGTTTTTCCCGTTGACACATCTCTGAGAAAATGCTTGGAATTCCTCTTTGAGTCATAATTAACAGGCATGGGAGAAGGACAAGAGGTTCAGAGGTTGTGAAATGTTAGTTATGAAGAATGCTGGAATGATATAACAGTGACAAAAGAAAGGGTTTGATCTCTATGGGAGGCAGCATGGCTTGACGAAATGAACACAGACTTGGGCACAAGTAGGACTCTAAGTTCTGATCTTGGCTTGGTTGCTGACTTGCTGTGTGGCCTGGGACAAGTCTCTCATTCTGTGCTTCAGATTTCCTGGCTGTACAATGGGAATGATGACAGGACCTACCTTTAATACTGTTTACATCACAGTAGGGTGCGGGGGCCCTGGGCAGGACGTTGTGCTAGGCACTATACAGACAGAGGTGAACTCAGTCCCCACCATGACGGGTTTACGAGCTCTCACAAGGGAGTAATTAGTTAGTGTCTGTACAGCTACTGTTCAGCTAAGTTTCAGGGACACTCACAAACTCATCCAGTTCTTGAGCAAGGGACATGAGGGCTAACTGTCCCAGGTGTCTGACAGAGAGAGGTGACGATGCATTGCGTGGGAAAAAGGCCTCTTTGTTGAGCTGGAGTGGGCCCTGCTGGAGAAGCCAAAGCTGGTTGTTGTAGATTCTTTTGCGGATTGTTTTCTAGTTGGGCAAATGACACCTCGAGTGCACTGGGGACCAGATCTGCCCAGGACTCAGGCGAATGGAGTCCACTGCCCTCGGATTATTCTTAAGCCTGTGCCCTGTTGTGTGTTACTGGAGTTACTCAGCACTATGGCTATAAGGAACAGGATGGATGGGGAAGGGCATGTGTAATGTTGTGCTGGAGGAAACACACTGATAAACTGAAGTACAAGAGAAATCACTGGCACTGCACACCTGGTTGTGGCCTCTTCATTTCTATGGTAACAAATGTCATTGTCCAGATCCCTGGTGATGACATTATTAATTCACCATTAGTTTCTCTAGGGAGAACTTGGCCCAAACACAGCTTCAGAAACCGACGGGGAACATTCCTTGCTTTGGGGGGCAGGAGGCCACAGTATTGTCACGACAGGGTATTCTTTCCTCAAGTATGTGAATGAGGCATGGGGCCAGTTTGGCCTTAAGGCTTGTCCATGCATGACAGTTAGCAACAGTTAATCCTAATTAACTCCCCATGTAGAAAATCCCTTTGATAGCTGGTGCTGAAGAGAGCCCTTTGGGGCTGATGCAGCCCTTTAAATGCAGTTTGATTCAGAAATTTCCTGCCCATTCTGATTTTTTCATATTTATATTTGCATATTTATAGATTTTAAAGCCACAAGGGATCATTATGGTCATCTAGTCTGACCTCCTGTATAAAGCAGCCCACAGAATTTCACTCAGAAATTGAAGGTCTAGCAGTTGTCACTTCCAGGGTTAGTACTTACCTGCGATTTGAGCCCAGGACTTCTGGCACCTAAAGCAAGCAGCATACACTTGAGCCACCAGGTCACCTTTAAACAAACCCCTCAATTCTACTCCCTTAGGGCGCAGACAGTGGGAAGCAGTCACCCTTCTGCAAACCCTGGCATTCGATTTTTGAAGGACGCCACCACGGTGAGCACTGTTTAAGCTCACATGGGTTACTCACAACTGTGTGGAACTGAATGAGAGTTTTGTTGCTCTTCCCCACGTCCATCACATAGTCATCATAAGCTTCTTTATAGATGGTCTGGACCTCCTGTACTGCCTGCAGAAATCAGACAAGTCCAGTGAGATACTGAATTGGAGACAACTGGGAGCCTAACAGATCCTACTCCAAATCCAATATAGATCCCTGGCTTCCCTCTCCAGCCCCTAGAGTCATGAGCGACTCCTCTACATTATTTTATCCCTAGCGATCTGGTGGATTGAAATAGTAATAGAGATGCTCTGGGAGAGCAGGCTCTTGGGGGCTAATGAGAACTTGGGCAGAACCCTACAGCACTTGTTTACTATATGTCTGCCAGGCACTCAGAACCCAGGAGACGTTCACTAACAAGAGATGTTCATTGTTTTGATTATGTACAACTCCCCAGAGTGTCACCCACTCCCCTACAGCTCTCCAGGCAGTTTTGAAGTCGATGTTACTCTCACATACAGGGATTATTTATACATTTGGATTTTCTGATCATATGTGCGAGTGGAGACTGTCCCATTCTGAAGCACAGCTTCTCAGGCTCATGACAACATGAGCTCTCTGTGTCTAGAGGGTCACAGAGTCCTCCTGTTTCTGTGGAATCCTTCCCTAAAATGTGGTCTTTCCCTGACCTCTTCAGATCATTCAGCAGCAGGAATCCAAACCCAGTCCATAACATCAGAATCACCTTGCTACTCACCGCTTTTTTGCCTATAAATGCAAACACTCCAGCAGTGACTTCAGCAGCAAATATCACCAGCAAACAGGCAAAAAACTGCAGAGGAGAAACAGAATTGGTACTAGTTTATTTTACATAAGGCCCTTTATACAAACTATGCATCCCAAATCATTCCACAAGGCTCAATAACACACAACAGCAGAGGGAGGAAGGTGTTAGCAGGCAGAGGCAAGGGGGAAGGAGTGGTCTTTTCAGATTAGATTTTCCATGAGATAAAGGGCAGATGAGGTAGAAATAGACCCCAGGAGGTGGCTCCAGATGGTGGAAGTGACAGAGGAGGCAGTCCCAGGAGGCAGCAACTGAGTCAAGCTAGCAAGGGGATAATTTCACACATGGAAGCTCTTGAATGGGACCTGCTGGAGATGTTGGGTTAATAAAGTATCTGCTCATTATGAGGAGTAAAATCAAGTTACTGATCTCTGACCCACGAGCTGTTCCCACCAGTGATGAAATAGAAATCTCCTTCAGAGGTGCACCATCAGAATAACCTCCAGCAGAGAGATGGTCCATCAAGCCTGTTACTTACCGCTCCAAGCAGGCACTGAGATTCCCGCACTGCTCCACAGCACCCAAAAAATCCAACTGTCATCATCAACGCCCCTGCTCCCACGAGCACATACAGCCCTGTGGGGAAACCAGAACCAGTCAGTCTCAGAAGAGTTCAACCAGAACAGCCTTTCAGGCATTACATCACTTTTCTTGGCAGGAAGAAGCCTGTCATCCATTCTCAGTCCTGTGTTTGTGCCCCAGGGGACAGTCCCCTCTATCTCTACAGCTCCTCAGCAGGGCTGCTGTGTCCCCCAAAGGGAACCAGTCACCTCCTTAGATCTCCTAAGGAAGCTCCACAAAGGCCAGCATGAAAAGAGTTCCATCTGTCAGGTCTCCTGTATGGAAACCTGCGAAGTCCAGCAATAATTCTACTGCCCACCAATAGGGACCGTGTTTTATACATCACATCATATAGAATTGTCTTCTAGCTAGTCACCATAGAACAAGGAGCAGGAAATACAATCCTCTAAAGTCAGCACTGCTCAGGATCACGTCTCCCTGGAGCGTACGTTCTCTGTGGAGGAGAAAGCCTTTGCCACACGGAATTCCTGTGACACTGAAGCACCTGTCCTGGCCTCTAATGGGACCCATCTCATAGAAACCTCCATAGCTTTTCTAAAGCTTATGGGCTTGGTTTTGCCAGCTGGCCCAGTGGGTGGTTGGGAAACACACTGGATTGCTGTGCAGGGGGTGAGTTTGGGAAGCCCCACGGAACCATGCTGCTGGGATGGCTGGGCACCGTGCTAACGACACTCTGTCTCCTCCAGAAGGGAAGGCACAGGCTCTATTGCATGGTGCTGTCCATGGCAGCAGTATTTCAGCTTTGGAGGATACTGCTGGCTACTGGAAACGAGGTGTGGGGCCTATTGGAAAACTGATGCCTCAGGAGAAATGGAGTGAGACCATCACATTACAACTCCTGTGGACAAAGACTGGCAATAAAAAGTCAACGTTCCCTAAGGAGCTGCTAAGGGTCAGCCACTGTGAATCCCAATGGTGAGCTCTACTTTCACAGAGACGGGGCATCTCTCAGTAGGTCACTGGATACATGAGATGCTTCTCTATTTGGAGCGTGGCTTCTTTCCTGTGGAATAAGTAGCAGGGCCACTTAGGCACACTCCAGATCCGTTAACTATCATACGAAGCACAACACATGCCCTTATAGCATACTGATACAGATGCCAAAATGTCAGACACCAAGAGCTGAGAGGGGCTCATGTTATCAGCATAAGGCCAGGGACTTTCTTCCACAGAAGCTGCCAGCACAAGCAGCATGCGTTATACTAGGCAGTGTCAAAGAAAGAGAGACAAACCATGGTCAGATGGTCTGGTAAAGTGGTTATGTATGAAAGGGGCAAGCAGCCTAAAACTCACAGTCCAAGATTCTCATAGGAGCTGCAGGCAGCACCTCCTGCAGGGCCTGTTGCCTCCAGCCAGATTTCATCTTGCCCTCGATTTCATCAGACATGGTCCGAGTGACCCTGCAGTAGCTGGTGGGAACACTGTGAACTGCCTTCATAGTCTGGCTGGCTGTTCACAGCTAAGTGCTTCAGAGATAACTTGGGAGTGGTGGGTACTGTCCAGAAACTCTGGCTAACCTCTCTCTTGGACTTGTTCCCAGAAGAGCTTGGGGCCATCTGGCCAAAGGAGGTTTGCCTGTACAGAATTTGTATGGCATGAAGACTGGTCAGAAACAGTGACAATCATAAAATATAATGTATTAGTGGATACTGCAAGGTGTCTCAGGAGCAGGCTGGGGTGAGCCTGATCAGGTGGGAGAGGAGAAGAGAGGGGAGACCACAGAAAGGCCCCTAGCACTGAGGGATACAGGCTTGGAACCTCCATACATTTAAAACTAGACTGGCCAAAGTACAGTACTATAGAAAATATTGTAGTGATCATTTCTGACCCACTCTGAGAGCTATTCAGCTTTTGCCATCTCCAGCATCTCTGTGCACTTCTAAGCGACATGAGGTCACTTGCATGGTTTTGTGTTCTAGACTTTATCTGGGGGAGAGGAGACAGGTGGGGGCTGCCTCTTCCAGGCAGAGATCACATCTTATTTATATTTGTAAATTGTTTAATGATGAATGGATAATAATTCAGCCTGGCTGCAGGCTTTCAGTCAGAGCGCAAGGAGGGTGCGCATTACTCAATGGAATCTATGATGCCTTGTCTTCAGGTACAGCACTGACCACAAACAGGCCTGCTGTCCGGCACAGCACCCTACTACTCCAGCCTTTGCCATCTTTGCATGGGGGCTGGGAACTCAGACATACTTAATGCATATCAAATGCTAAAATGAGCCTGCAGCACTTTCCATCCCACTAGCATGTGGGGGATGGGGATGCTAAGGTCGGTTGTCCCACTAGAGGGCACAGTCAGCCCTGCTTTCAGAGTCAACTGTACACTGTGCGTTTTCATACTTTTACTATTTTCTAATGTTAAACATTTTATTTTTTAAAATTGACCCAAATCTTTATCATTCATATAGCTGCCAGCATTGAATACGCACTAGGCCCTGCGGCATCCAAATCTGCACAGAGACCCCACAGAAGGGTGTAGGAATAATTGAGAGGGAAATAATTAAAACCTCTGCATTCCCCAGTGCATCGTGGCATCTCTCTTTTGGAGGACAAGTTCTTTGGGGCTCTCTCTGCATTTGTGCACAATATATTCAGTACACAGGGATGCTAGGCAAAATAGCAGAGCTAGTCGAGAAACAGAAAATATTTCTTCAAAAATTCTACAGAAAATAGTTATAGGTTAACAAAAACTTTCATCCAGTCCCATAAGATATCATCATAATCTTATTACAATACTAACAGCCTCAGAACTGCAGTTTACTCAAACCATGGCAGAGTTCCTGCCCGCTTGTCCAGTAGCAAGGGACGATCTCACTGCCATGCCACTGCTGTCATTAAAGTGCCACACTGGAGGGTCCAAAATCCCAATGGCTTTTCTGTCTCTCTCCCTCTGTAATACACTTCTACCCCGATATAACGCGGTCCTCGGGAGCCAAAAAATCTCACCGTGTTATAGGTGAGATCGCATTACATCCGGGTAGAGAGAGGAACCGCTTTTACTGCTCCCTGCCCCAGCTTCCCACCTCCCGGCTTGCCATGCCAATCAGCTGTTTGGCCTGGCAAGCCTGGAAGGGGGGGAGGAAGTGGAGCGGCGGCGGCGGCGTGCTCAGGGGAGGAGGCGGAGATGAGCTGGAGCGGGGAGTGGTTCCTCTGCGCACCCCCATTACTTGCTGCGGCCCTCCCCGGCCCCCCCTGCCCCAGCTTACCTCCGTTCCGTCTCCTCCCACGAGTGTGCCACAGCTCCGCTTCCCCCCCTCCCTCCAAGGCTTGCCACGCCAATCAGCTGTTTTGCGCAGCAAGCCTGGAAGGGAGGAGAAGCGGAGCGGCGTGCTTGTGGGAGGAGGCAGAGGTAAGCTTGGGCAGGGGGGCCACAGCAAGTGTGTGGGGGGGCGCAGAGGAACCGCTCCCCGCCCCAGCTCACCTCCGCTCCACCGCCTCCTCCCACGAGCGCGCCGCTCAGCTCCGCTTCTCCTCCCTACCAGGCTTGCCGCGCAAAACAGCTGATTGGCACGGCAAGCCTGGGAGGGAGGGAGGAGAAGCTGAGCTGCAGTGCGCACGTGGGAGGAGGCGGAACGGAGGTGAGCTGGGGCGGGGTGGGGGGCCCTGGGGAGGGCCACAGCAAGTAACGGGGGGGCGCAGAGGAACCGCTTGCAGTAACATGAATTCGGATATAACGAGGTAAAGCAGCCCCGTCCCCCGGAGCTCTGCTTTACCGCATTATATCCAAATTCGCATTATATCGGGGTAGAGGTGTATCAATACCAAGAATTGGTGCAATATAAATCCTGCTAAAAGCTAGTAAGCAGGTTATTTTTGTGGTAATGACTGAAATGTTAATGGAGGAGCAGCTGCACCAGCTGTTACACCAGAGAAGTTGGATTTCCTGAACGTGCTTGCAGTTCAAAGATTCTGAATTTACCAGCATCTTAGCACCATGCAGCTTAGTATTTACCTAGAGTCTTAGCATAATTCATGCCATTGTAAATGCACGTTGCAAGAGGTTTTTGACTGGGTTTAAGGTGGGGATGTACATGGGTCTGAATCAGAGTTCATCTCCATGCATAGGATGAGGAGGGTAAATCATATTATCTGACATGCCTCAAGAACATCTTTCATCATGTCGCCCAATGTCACGTCTGCCATTTTCTGAGGGGGCACTCAGCTCCCATGGTGATGAGTGCAGTGTAAATAGTGATGCAAATTTCCTGGACTTTGCTCTGTATGTTACCTTCTGCCTCCTCGTTCATCGGTTATTGAATATCTTGGCTAGAGTCTTTCCTATTTCCCTTCATGTTGCTTCTAGCTAGATCAGATGAGGTTCTTTGGGGCCTGGGGCTCTGACCACTTTGAAGAGTCCTAATTGCATTTGGATTTGCTCTTGCTTCAGTGGCAAAGGCTTTTAGCATTTTACTCACATGACTCATAGCTAAACTGCTACCTCTCATCGAAGCGTCCCTTTTAAGGCGTGTTATAGGAAGTGCCTCTCACTGCACTCGCTAAATAAACCTGTTAGCTCCCAGATTGGGCTGCCTGGTCTGGTGGCTGCAAGGGGCTGTGCCAATCAAGAAAAGCCACCTTCATACATCTCCCATTCAAGAGATCCCAGAACCCATCCCTGCTCTTTCAGGGATTGCTGATGCCTGACACACACTGCTGCCTCTAGCTGGAAAATATGAATAAGAGAGATTTTTAAAAAGCCAAAACTGAAATAGGTTTTAAATGTCTTCTTCAAACTCACATGCGCACAGACACCAAATCTTTCGTTACAGGATGGAGGAGTGGGTGGGGGGAGGTTCTGTGGCCTGCGATATGCAGGCAGGCAGAGTAGATGATCACAATGGTCCTTTCTGGCCTTAAAGTCTATGAGTCTAAAAACTGCCTGAAAACAAACTCGTTACCTGGTCCTTTCCTCTGAACAGGATGTGCCTTCCTATGACTAAGTGATGGAAATGGAGACAGAGATATGTCCCTGCACCAAACACAAAGAAG